ATTAAAGTGAGGCGTATTGTCTTCTTTTCATCGTTCTTCATTGAACAATTTCGAACTTATCAAGTGTTAACTTGTGGCATTCAAACAATCGGATTCAATTCTTGAATTGCGTGATCAAAGGGTCTTTCAAGCGTCGTTCTTGTTGGGTTTTTTGGTTCGACTTTCTTTTGGATTAATCCTAAATTCTTGGATTAATTTGGCTTTCTTGGGTTCGTTAATCTCGTTGTGGGTTTCATAGTCAACGTTGCTACGGGAGTCGCATCACCAACATTGTCAACAAGAGTTGTATAAATAGTTTAATTAAATATTTGGATAGTTCCAATTTTAATAATACGAGACAACAAGCATCAAGCAATGAAAAATTGTGGACAATGCTGTCGAGAAAAAGATATTAGAGATAAAACTCAAGTGCAGAAACAAATAATGTGGGCAATGACATAAATTTTCCCTCGTTGTAACAAACAAAAAAAAAAAAAAGAAAGAAAGAGGTTAACAGATGAATTTAGTAGTTTGCTGGTGCTGAGTTTTAGATTAGGCCCCTATCGATGTCCAGTAAAAAGAGATTTTTTTACTTTTTTTTTTTTGAGAAAATGAACTTTGAAATAGTGTTTTTTTGGAGAATATGTGATTAAAAAGGTAAAGACAAGTTTTGAATTTACATGTAAAATATTTAATCATGAAAATGTGTAATTGGAAATGAATTTTAGGAAAAATAATTTTTGAAAAATGATAAGACAAACATGACTAAATTTTTCACTCCACTTTCTTATCTTGTTTGACATAGGGGCTTTAGCCTTGGAGATCAAAGAAGAAATCAATGCAATCTTCTGACAATGAGCAACCAACTTCCTATTGTTAAGGGATAAATTGTATATCAACTAATTTTCAAAAAATTGAAAATATATAAGAGTCTGAAATATTCATTAACCTTCTAAAATAGAACTCAAAGTGATGATATGACTCCCATTTCATGTCAATTCTTGGACTTGGACCAATAGGATTGTTCAAGCATGATGTATTCTCCAAGTATGGACCAGCAACAAATAAGCCGGGGGTTCAAGTGGAGCCAAGGGGAAATCAGTTGCACCATCTCTTACTCCATAACTTGGAACTGAAACCATGTCGTCAACCATTACGATTGAAGATCTAAAGCAAATGCAACAAGAACAGTCTAGAAAATAGGGCTTAAAGGGCCAGATCCTCGTACCTTTTTTTTTTTTTCCCTCCAAGACATTGTATTTATGTCACATTTGAAGATGGGATTTTCTTGTCGTCTTAGCAAAGGGGAAGTCGAATTCACATAGAATTAGATGTTATGAGTTTATACTTAATCCGTAGTTAGTTTTTATCTTTTTCATTGGCGTGTTTTTTCTTGATGATCTTTTAAAGTCGTCAACGTCTCAACGAGGATTTTTTTTTTTTCGTCACCTGAGATTTTTAGTTGTAACTAGAATGTTAATTGTTTAGGAATGATGGATGGGAGATACTATGGAGTTAAAAAAAGTAAGAATCAAATTAAAAAGTCTGATATTGCAACAAAATATCTAATTTTATAGAATAATCTAGAGTAGCGTTATTCATAGTCAGCGATGACGGTAGTCATTTTATATGACAGTTTATTATTTGAGTTATTAACTTATTATTTAGAATAAACTGTCACATAAGAGATGATGACTATTTTAACTTTTTGTAATAAATAATTTGCATTTGACCAAGAAGCAGTGGCAAATGGAAAAGCATACGCCAATAATTTCGTTACTCCAAACAAACAAAAAGCTTATGCGCCACTGAATCACAATTTCAAGAAATAATAACAAAAATAATTAGCAGAAACAAAACACACACTCTCTCTCTGTAAAATCTGTGTCTAGAAGTCCAGCCGCCATGAATGACTTCATATCTACACAAGCTGATGCTCTTATCCGTCGCCGGAACTCCATCTCGACCCCAGTTGAGGTGGCCCCCTCCAATCTTATCCTTCTCCACCACTACTCCGCCTGCTCCTCCTCCTCCTCCTCCTCCTCCACCACCGCAACCACTATTACCAACTCCGCCTTCGCCTCATCTTCTTCATCGTCATCATTTCCCTCCGATGATATCGAGCTGTTATCAATCAAGCCCGCCTCCTAGAGCTACACTTCACTAAAAGACCTTTTACCCTCAGTTGCAGTCAATTCACCGAGGCCAAGCTCGCCCCATCAAGCTCAGTTAGGGCCCGATATCTGCATCCGCAATCGCCTAGTGAAGCAAGCGGCCTGGGCTTATCTCCATCCAATGTCCATCTCCCCTGACTCTGCCGGAAACGGCTTTTTACACCGCCTCTGGCAGCGCGTAGCCGCCTTCTTTGACTTCTTGAATCGCCAAATTATACGGGCCCTTGATTGGATCCTTAGGGCTACAAAGATTCGGAGCTCCAGATAACAACTGTAAGAATTGTACTTCGTGGGACGATTTTCAAATTTTTCTATTTCTTCTTATTGTGATGTAATGGGAAAATTGGAATTTTAACGAACAAGAAGGTTTGATTCAATTTGGGGGGAAAAAAAAGTGAAGCACTAAATAAATAAATAAACTTGAAATATACTATACAAATTTTTATTTTTTATTTTATTATTATTATTTTTTGGTGGATAGCCTAACTTTGATCCGTGGAGAATTTAAATGCTTATCAACACCGGATTTTTCCGGGCCAGTATCCGAATCCAGGATTTGGATATCCTTAGCTCTATACGATTGATTGTTAATCTAAACTTGTATAGATTCAAATTTAGGCGTTTGAGCTCGATAGGTGGTTGATGATCACTTGTTCTTGAACATTCTAATGTTGTGCTCGATTGAGGATCTTCATTAGAGCATCGATTGGCTTCATTCTACCAGAAAAAAAAATAATAAATAAAAATATTGTAAGAATTGGTTAGAATTTTCAATATCAAGTAGATTGTGACATTATAAAGTGACAATTTAAATTGTGGCTGTGAATGTGATACACTTTTTGTTAAAATTCAACATAATAATGATGGATTGTATTCCAATGGGCCAAAATACTTTTGGACTCAAATTTTCGAGTATAGATTTCAATTACTTGTGCGGTGCCAATTCGGCAATTGTTTTTGTATTAAATAGGCCTAAATAATACAATTTTTTGTCAAATTCAGAGCGCGATGGAGTTAAACTCATAGCTCATAATCGAAATGTGTCATCATGTAGATTGGGAATCCAGGAACTGAAGAAATTGGGAGGATCTTAGTTGACCCCAAATCAGTGCAGTTCTACCAATAATAAATGGCTAAATTCCATGTTCTTCCCTAAATTTGATTAAACTCCTATCGATACATGTCTCGTGTTTCGAATGGTTTGTTATTAAAGATATGTTTCGTGTCTACACATCATTAATATTGTTAATGCATTTACAGATTCATTTTTTAGTAAATGTTTCAACCTGAAGTGATAGCAGATTACAAAATATTTAATTAATTAAAAGGAGAATATGGTATGCTATGCATTGGTACTAAGTATCAATTACATTATATGTCAATCCGTTGATAGATAATGAATTAATTTCAAATATTAAGACATATTGTAAATTTATTCATCAATATATAAACGTGTCATGTCACTAGTGTTCACATAAGTTAAATAATGCTTAGTAGATCATTTTTCATTCAGGCCCGATGCATGTTTGGGGTGGACTATGGAGCATTGGAGAGAGTATTGGGCTTTTTGCATAACGGGCCTGGACCGCCTAAATATCCATTTCTTCAGTGTTTTGTTGCTATGACAGGAGAATTAAGCCATGTGATAAAGAATTAGGGGTTTGTTAAAGATTTTAATAAAAGTTAAAGAAAGATTGTGATAAAATTTGATGAACGACCCATTTGGCAAGACTTTTGAAAAGTTAAAAATTGTATCTGAAATTAAGAAGTTTTTTAACCTGTTTAGATAATTCTCGAAAGGTATTTTATTTAGTGAGAAGAATTTTTAGGTCAACTCCTTGAAAAACTCTTTACAACAATAAAATCAAAAGTAAAAGTCTTATCAAACGGCCTCAAAATATATAATTATAAATTAATTATTGAGTTTGATATTAAAACTTTTAAGCAACTTTTAAAGACATTCCAAACAAGCACTTATCCAACATTTAGCAAATTCCAATTGATTAAAGGATTGATAGAAAATATTCCATGCCTCCCTCATAATATTCTTCCCTGTCTGCATGTAATATGGCTTAAACAAAAGATGATATCAGCAACTATTAACATAAGATAATTAAGTCAACCCTTATTAGCATGTACTGTACTGGCTTATGAAATCAGAACCGTCGGTGGTGAATCAAGGGGTCGACTGTTTAACTGATCTCCAGATTATCATACCCACAGTGATGTTAGGTTCATAATTATATAGCTAATCCACCTTGAAGCTATACATTCTTTTGTATTTTATATATCCATTAGCTAACAATTCTAAGGGAAAAAGTCAAAATCTTGTTATTATTATGTCCACTCTTGTTGAGTATTGTATATAAAATATGTATTATTCTTTATTCTCATTGGTGTCTGATCATCAAACCTTGAATCACTTAGGGATCCACCTTGAATTAGTTAAGAGAGACTTTTTTTTATCTAAACCAAGCATGATGGTACAGAAGATTCATCCTAAGCCCCACACACTGAGGTCGAACCAAGAGAGATGTTATCTAAAAATATGGTCGTTGACACAATTCCTGACATTTGATCAAGAGAAAGTTATGATGGCCTTAGGTAGATGTCTATAGCCTTAGTTTTACAATGATCCATCAACCACCGAAGCCTCCGACCAATCAAAAATCTTTCGGAAGAAAAGTCGAGAACTGTAACTTGATATGATTAGAACAACAAGCTCCAGTATGGTATTTTATATAAGAGGAAAAAATCTCAATGAAAAAGGTCGACTTGTCTAAATTCCCTTTATACTAATTGTACCAAACTTTAAATTACATCTTTGTCATATCAAATTCCACCAAATGCTACACAATTATTCCGTAAAGTAAAATCTTCCTTAAGTTGATTTGAAAAGTATCATGATAATTCTTATTTTCGATTAAACATTTGCTCAACACTTAAAACGAGGTTGTTTGTCACACTTACTCGTGACAATCCAATATATCTCCTAGTCTATACATAAATGTAAACTTTCCATTTTCTTTGCCTAATTTATGTCATACAGATGAAGCTGTCTCAAATAATTGTTTATGAGGTTAGTATTTAGGGTCCCTCCAATATAACACTTTGAATTTATATATCTCTACTCCAAATTCCTTTGCACAACATTTTTCCAAACAGAGTCAAGGGTTTCTATCTCTTCCACCGCCACCCCTCTCTTAACACATACGCACAGACAGTGAGAAAAGGCCAATTTGTTTTGTAATGTCAAGCAGCAACAAGAAAAGGTACATTCTCAACACAGTGGCAGTGAACCTGGGATGCAGCACTTGTAGCAAAAGGCCAAGGCTCTCCAGCATATTCCGGCCAAAACCAAGGGAAAAACCCCAGTTCCACCACCACCAACCTCGCCAACACGACTCTTCTTCAAGCTCCTGGGATGCCACCAAATTTTCCTCCACCGCAGACACCCCACCGGTATACTGCTCCTCCGAACCAGAGTCAGACATCAAAAGCCTTCAAGCTGTACAAGGATTCGGAAAGATTGGAGGTGAAAGCTTGGCAGTGGAGAAAGACTCCGACGACCCGTATCTCGACTTTAGAAACTCAATGCTGCAAATGATTCTGGAAAAAGAAATTTACTCAAAAGATGATCTTAAAGAGCTCCTCAACTGTTTCTTGCGACTAAATTCACCATATTACCACGGGATCATTGTCAGAGCTTTTACAGAGATTTGGAATGGGGTGTACTAAGTAAAATCTGGTTCTCCAGACTTGAACTTATAGGCTATAAAACCTTTGTCATTTTTAGGGTGTCGTTAGCGTTAGTACGAAAATAATCTGAAAGAATACTGTGGTTCTATTTCTTTATATGTAACACCAGTTTTTAGGAAAAAGTATTATGTATTTATAGTCTTTTTTTTTTTTTTTTTTTTTTTTTTTTTTTTTTTTGATAACCCACTTTTTTTTTTTTTTTTTTTTTTTTTTTTTTTTTTTTATGATAACCCAGGTGTCCCAACTTAGCCGGACTAAATCCTGGACCTCTAGCCCCCGGCCCCTCAGTGACTAGTGGAGGTAAATCGCAGGTTGTGCCCTTGTTGGTTCCCAGGTTCCCACATGGCTTTTACTCCTTCCCCAAAGGGACCCTCCTCCATGGTTATTACATCACCAAGCTGCTCCAACCCTTCCTCTGGTTATTACATCACTTGGCTGCTCCAACCAGGAATCGAACTCCCCACACTTGGTTCCAAAGCCCCCCAATGTAATTGTTCCGCCAACTTGGATGTGCCCTGGGGGCTATGTATTTATAGTCTACATAATTATCTTCGGTTGACTTGATCCATTATTCATATACCTCAGCTCCGAGAATAGAAGTGGTTCGTTTTCTTTCTATAAGCAATTCAAGATTTCGTTTGTGTACATGTTGGCAATTTCAGAAAATGGAATAATAGTATGTATCAGCCAGTAAAAAATTTTAGCAGTGCAGTAGAAGTTATTAGTGAATGCAAATTTTTTTTCTCTCATTTAGTGTTTTGTTTATTATTGTTATTCCCATGGTTGTCTAGACAGATATATAACTCATCTATTAGTAGGAGTGCGACATCGATTATGAAGAAACATTTGCTCCAGTTGCTTCATACCCTATAGGCTGTTCCACATATTCATTATTTGTGTTTTTGGGGGGTCCAGCTTAACCTAACGAAGGTAAAGTTGTAGAAAAATTTGGCGGTTTTGGTCTATTTTCTTTAATAGTACGTACATTTGACGTTCGAAAACTACACAATAGACTCAATTTTAACTTATTTTAATTCTTCAAAATAGTTCAATGATGTCCCATCTGTTTTCTTAAAAGCTTTTTCGTTCCATTCATCAAAACTAACTCCCTATTTTCTTGTCTCAATTATATAATCATGTTTCTTTATTGGGAATGTTTTCTTTTGATCGTTGACTAATATATACTTATTTAATTTGTCTAGTTATAACCAATTTATCCACTTAGTCTTGAAATTGTACAAGTATAAACAATGATAGATTATGAAAGTTTTTAGCAAAAATTACTTTTTCAATAACATTAAATAAGAATTCTTAATTTTTATGAAAAACAAAATCAACCTATATAGTTGGGATACAGGGACTATGTCGATAGGGTCACGTCTGATTCCTACTTCTCTTGGTGGGCAAACAAAGAGGTTGGGACTCGAGAATTTGTGAATAAAAATATTGCACCAACTTTAATGCACTTAAATGATGCAATTAATATTTGGGGGACTCCAGTTGTACATATCTTCAAGATTTCAACACGGTCATTAAAATTTGGCTTCTTTTTAATAAATCCCAACCACTTGACGTCCCAATGTAAATTTTTAGACAATCTTATTCGCATGTGATATATACAGGGATTTTAGGACTATTCTATTTCTTTCTTGTGGTTTACACGAAACTATTAAAAAAAAAACATATCACTAGCTCCAAGGGAAAAAAAAAAAAAAAAAGGGTTTTACATAGAACAATAGTATGTATCATTAGTAGTGTTCTAACATCAATTTAAGTGACAGTGAAGCCAGTGTCCCACAATTGCTGATCATAAATATTGCAGATCGAAGGCAAAATTAAAGCAAAGAAAAAATATATTTCTTGAGACGAGTTAATTATTTCGATCCTTCATTCAATGTGAGTCTTGAACTTTCAATTATTCAAGATCTTCTATTAGCATTATTATAAATTTCATTTAATTACATCTATATCAATAGTCAAATGAAACTCAAGTTAATTCCCAATCTCACACCGTGCTTGCAAGGACAACAAGGGCTTGTTTGTTATAGCTCTTGACGTTATCAGATGGATTTAACTCTAATTTAAAGTACATGACTTCAATCATGATGAAAAATGGGGAAAATAAAATATTTTGACTGACCCATAAAATGCAACTACAAAATTGACCATCGAACCCTAAAGTTCTTGAAAATTTGATGGACCAATAAGTGATCAATCTTTAGTGTAGTGGATGTAAGTATCGCGAAGGACTCTCTTTAACAGAATATATCATTTCTTGCTACGGAGCCCGTAAATGCCCTAGGTACAATCAACTTTGGATATATAATTAATGCAGTTTAATGGCAAATCTATTATTTAATTAATTGTCTATTAATTAAATAATAGAGTCTGTAAATTCAAATCTTCATAATTTGTTAATCACAAGGAGTTGTGGTTGTGAGATACAGATTACATTTGATTGAATCTTAAATCGTCTGTGATCGTAAGTAATAACGAGACACGGATATCATTATTAAGGATAGACCATCACGTGTGGCATTTCTTACTTGTGAATTAAGTAGCTGATCTCACAAGTTAAAGTATGGTGACACTTAAATGAACACGTGAATGTTTTGTTATAGAACAAAACATTGGAGACCCGCTAAGAGATTCCACATGAATAACTATATGAGTGTCAGTGGTTAATCTCTAACGTTCGGTAGTGGAATTGGTCCTATGACTTGAGGTCATCATAGTGTTTTGTATGAGGACAATCATGTTTTGATGGTGTTGGATGTTGCTCTGCCAATGGCCGCTAATACGATATCGTTCGGGTATGTCAAGAACCATATGAAAGTTGTGAATAACCAATAGAGGATTCGTCACTCTTAGTTAGTAAGAGATTGTGATCTGCATTTCGTTCAATTAAGTCAATAACGAAATTCTTGGCCAAGGTATACATATAAATCGAAAAGGAGTTTTCGACTCATATTGGCTTAATAGTAGAATGAAAGATATGGTCGATAATCGAGATTGACACACTTTCCTATCTCGTAGTTGATCGGATCATATTGACAAAGGGATTATAATTTCATGGTAAACGAACAGTTTTGATTTTGTCATACCATGTGACATTTCCCGTCACATGTATTGCCCTGATACATTGCTAGATGTCAATCTAGGACGGCGAGTGTGAATTTGTGATAAATTAAAAGGGTGTTTAATTTATCAGTTTTGATTATATGAAAATAATATTTCATGTCGTTGGGCATCATGGTCGGGAACCTGATGGGTCGCACACATAAGAGAATTGGAAGATTGCAAATTGCCAATTAATTAATTCATCCAATTGTTGGATAAAATTAATTAATTGGATTGGTTATTTATAGCCCCGAATTAATTAATTGGATTAATTAATTCACGGACCGGATTTAATTAAATGGATTAATTAAATATTGGATCGAACCGGGCCGAGCCTGTTTGGGTTTATATAAATACATAGCTAGGACTTGAGATCCATACGGTTTTCATTATTCTTGCTGACACAAGAGGAAAAACCCTAACAGTTGCAATCTATTCTCTGTGCGGATTTCATTGGAGGCTGGACAATTGGATAGCTGTGGGAGGCAGATTCAAGATTGCTAGAACGAAAAGAAAAGCAAAAGATTTGCAGAATTTTTCAAAAGTACAATCTTTATCACGATTTCTATCTAAACACAAAGGGATCCTCGGTGGGAATCGAAATAATTTTAATTTTTCGCTATGCATGTATAAATAGATTTTCAACAGTAGTATCAGAGCCTACTTTGTGTTTGTTAGAAATTGATTTGCGTGATTGTGCAATTAAAAGTTGATTGTTATTCCTTTTTCATGTTTCTAGCAATTGAAGAAAATTTGATTTTCTTAATTTTCAAAATCTGATTTTGAAAACATTTTTAAAAAAAAAATTTTAAATTTTTGGGATCGGACTGCGGCCAGTGCGCCGTTGGCGCTGGCTTGCTGCAGCAGGCGCAAGCGGCAGCAGCGGCAGTGATGCCCCTGCTGAAGCAACGTGAAGACGCTACTGCAACAGTGCCTTCGCGCTGCTAGGCAGTTGGCAAGAGCTTACCCGCGTTGTTGAGGCGACGCCATTACCGGCACCGCCCACCAAGGATTAAATAAATACAAAAAAAAAAATTAGATTTAGGGTCTTTTGTTAGTTGGTGGAGACGGTGGCTTGCTTTGTAATTTCAGAAATTCAAAGGGGCCGCCTGTAATTAAAAGGGAGGATCAACTTGCAAACTTTAAATGAAGGGTCATTTTGCAAGAAGTTAATATTGCGGACCCCGACTGCAAATATATAGTAGGGGTCAATCTGTAATTATCGAATTAAGGGCTGCTGTGCAATTTTGTAATCTCGAGGCCCTGTTGATAATTTGTAAGGGGGTCAAATTTCAAATTTTCAAAATGCATTTTGAATTAGAATATAAATGGTTTTTAAAATTTGATTTTCAAATGGTTTGACCTATATTTTGATTTTGACCCAAATTAAAATTTTATTTAAAATTGACGACTTTTATATTTTCGTTATAATATGATTTTAACTTAAATATTAAATTTGATCATATATTGAATTTTATTTTATTTAGGAGTGTTATCCTAAATTAGAATATTGATTCAATTTAAATTAGAGTTTGACTCTAATTTAATACTTAATTAAAATTTGATTTTAATTAATTATTCACCCGAATATATTCTTGTAATTAGAATTGGATTCTAATTTCACATTTAATTAAAATTTGATTTTAATTAAATTGTCTCGCCCTAAATTTCTTCTTGGAATTAGAGTTGGACTCTAATTTGGTATTTAATTAAAATTTTATTTTTAATTAAATTAATTTGCCCTAAATATTGGAATTAGAGTTAGACTCTAATTTTTCTATTTAATTAAAATTTGATTTTAATTAAATTCAACTGCCTTACATTTTGAAATTAGAGTTTGACTCTAATTTGTTATTTAATTAAAATTTGATTTTAATTAAACATTCCCGCTAATTAAATAATCGATTAATATGATTAATTAATTATTTAATTGTTCCGATCCATTTGTCTAAAAGAATTTAGATGACTTAATTGCTAGAAACTTGAAATTAATTTGCATATAATATTAGATATTATATAGGT